TAAAGAATATGAAACGTCTATTACGTTTAGTAACAGTAGCATTACCTATAGCTAGCTGAAAAATTTAAATGAAGGCAAATTTTGCTTAATGTATAAGGTATTTCCCCCACCTTCTTAGCATGCCTTCTTGGTGTAATGTCCAGCACACTCGGCGTGTATCGAGAGGTCCGAGGTTCGAATCCCAGCAAGAGCATTGCTTATATTTCACGTCTCTCAGCATCAAAAACTCTAATGACTCTACAGAGGTGCCCGAACTAAAAAAGGTTGTGGATGATGATTCTCCACCACCAGGATTTTGCGGTTGGATCCCCTAATCCCCAGTCGCCCTTTAAAAGGAGAAGTATATAAAGTATTTCTCCCGCCTTCTTAGCATGTCTTCGTGTGTAATGGTCAGCACACTCGGCGCGTATTCGAAAGGTCCGTGGTTCGAGTCCCGGGGAGGGCACTGCACATTTTTCATGACACCTCTTCAAAAAAAAAAATTCAAATTTTTCTACAAATAGCATATTCCTAGAAGTATGTTTTAAATTAAAATACAATATTCAGTTTAATATTGTTCATTCAAAAAAATACAATTGATCATAAAAGTATGTCCATACATACATGTATAGGCTTTGTTAAAAAATTACTCATTTTAAATTGGTTTATCAACCTATATTGTTTTTCTCCATGACAGCTACTTAAAAAGACACAAATTTTAATGCACATAGACAGTCTGTGGAAACAAGCTTGCCCTAGATATGATTCGGAATCAGAATTTTTTGAGTGACAAGCTGTAAAGTGCTGTTTAGCCTTCTCTTCCATTATACCAAATGTTACAGAAAATCAATACCTGAAAAAAAAATTATCTTATGCAAATTATTTTAAGCAATCAAAAAAATATTTTGATCAGGGATCCTACCAAGTCAAGCATAATAATATTTTAATTTTTACACTGTCTAGAGATAAAGTGGATTCAAGGGGGAAAATGTAAAGTTGTTCAAGGGGGAAATGTAAAGAAATAATTCTCGTGAAAGCACTGTGATTAATGTTCTTAAAATCATAGAAACCTACACCTAATTTATAATTTACTAAACACCACAGTAAAAAATTTCTGCTGTCAGAATAGGGACATAATATTCCCTTAAAAATTTCTATTTTTTCGGATTTCGTTTATTTCCCCCCTCATTTTTGCTCTATCAGCCTATATTTGAAGCAACTCTTATGTAGACTTCAATAAATCAAATTTATCAATAATTCTAGTAAATTAAACCAGCTAGGTACACAACATATATTTCTGTCATAATGTGAAGCTTTTTGCATCGCAAAGCAATCCCGTCATGTATGCATTTCTTCGAGTTCCGTGCAAAATTGTTGATATATTTAAATATTCCGTTTTGAAGTACATGTGAATGAGAATTTCTTTCAAATTTCTCGCAGAGAAACAGGATATTTCACACTCCAATTTTATTCCTTTAGCGATGTTTTATCGATATACTTGACCAGTAATTTCCATTAAGATTCCAATAGCATTTAAATCTTCTTAACCAACAGAGACCAGTATATTGGGGAATTTTTCTATATTGCATAAAACTATAGTTTTCCGAAAGCAGGTAAATCTGTTGCGAAAGAAAGGTGCTACTTTTCCGCTAGATCATCTAACAGAGCTAGATGCAATAGAAATTATCCTTTTCAACTGATCTCCGCAAGCAACATATTTTTATTAAGCACTTTTTAAACTCAATATTCATTAAGATATTATCAAGGTTTTCTTCCTTCTGTACGAGGCTTGGATCACATGCTCAAAAGAATTAAAACGATTTTTGGAAAAACCATTTGATCCTCTTTTCTAAATGTTGCGAAATTACACGAAAAGCACTTTCAGTACGTCCAAAAATGATGCTGTTGACTTTTAAAAAATACTTTACTCTAGATTATATAATAGAATATGTTTGAATTATTTAAAAAGTTATAGGTCTCCTTTCTAAAATATGGAGAAAAGTGTCAGCAGTGCGCTGCAGTATTTGGACGAGTTACACCCTTAACAAAAGATTATTTTATTCTTGACAAACTACCTTTTTAAACGAAAGATGTCTTTGAAAATTATTATTAATTAAACACCTTGTAGAGACATTGGGATTTTTTTGGAGGCCGGAGAGATGAAAAACTAGCAACGCCTTTGCCAGGAATCGAACCGCGTACCTCTCAGTTACGTGCAGACCACTACACCACGAAGGCTTGCCAAGAAGGCAGGAGAAATACCTTATGACATTAAAAACATTTATTTTCCATTCGCTAACTTCATACAGCAATTAAATATGTAAAAACCTTCCGTTGAATAAAAATAGTATATAGGATGCTCTGAGGGGAAAAAAAAATAATAATAAAGGAAAAAAATCTGAAAGATTTCAGATTTTAAATTACGTCCAAAGGAACGTTTTCTTAAGTTGTAAGGATTATGTTAATTTACCTAACAGTGTGTTACCTTTATTTATTAAATATCATGTTCTTCGCACTTAAACCATAAATTCATTTCAAGAGCAATATCGAAAATATTTTTAAAATGAGCATATCTTTAAAATTTCCGATACACAGTCTGGTAAAAGTGTTTTTGTGTACAACGTTGCCATTTCTCGCTTTGAAATCCTTTGTTAATGAAAGTTTGTTAATGAAAAATTCGTTAAAGTTTTACAAAATACGAAATCGATAATAAAACAAATTCCAAATTTCAAATTTGGGCTTCCAAATGCCCATATTCGCAGGAGGATTACTTTATTCAAATTTTGATGGCTCTAGGTACCGCTGTTTTATCACAATGCGAGAAACACTCATACATTTATGCAGATTCTTCATTATTTAATTTCTTTAAATATAATACAGGACAATAATATTTGGTGGCAACAATCTGAAAGTGAAACAACGCTTGTAGTGATTCAACGCAAAATGTCAAAATGAATAGTCTTTCTGGCCAAAATGCCGCTTTAGACTAACAATAAAATATTCCTGAGATCTTTGAAAAAGGACGCAAGCCGGTAGCTGCGAAACTCTGTAATCTGTAGATAAATAAGTGGCATATTTGACTTTTCTGCTGTTCTTCTGGCTACATTCTCCAGATGTTGAATAATACCTTATACTATTAATCTAAGGATATAAATGTTTCCTTAATAGATTAGTAGTCCTTAATACAGAGTAGTTAGCAATAGTTTTGAATATTTCAAAATATGTATGTATGAATTTGTATACACCAAAACATCTTACTATGACCATCTCCATAAGACGACCACTTCTGAAATTGATCAGTACATCTGAAAATACAGTTCTATGGAAGAAAACTTTATCAGTAAGGATATTCTCTAACGGAACTTCCAACGAAGATTAAAACCACTTGAAACCATGCTGTGTCATCTTAGTATCACTGTATTCATATTGTCATATCAAACATATTTAGTCTTTTAAATTGGACTTAAAGGGCTTTTGGACTTTTTTACTGTAGCTTACAATGTGAAGTATTTAGTTCGTTTAACTGTACTCTTAACAGTATATGAAATTTCATTTCAGTCTAATTGATCTGCATATTTGTTGTAATATTAATATCAGTGTAAAATTTTCCTGGAAATTACTATCTGCAGCAATAGTAAATTAAACCACACATTTAATGAGTTATAATACAAGCAAACCAATCAGTCAAAATGCACAAATTTTGCTTTCTGGCCAAGCCAAAAAATTGGACAGGCAGATCCAGGCATCTGAACAAAATGTGACAAAATTTGCTTTTAAAAAAAAACAGAATTCTTATGCAATAACTAATAAAACTGTTTCATAATATTGGCTGACGCATCAGTGTGAGTGAAATTATGAGCATGTTAACCTGAAATGCAACATATCGAAACTACAGGCACACAGACTCTAACTACAGTATACTTCTTAGATTCATTAAGATAATTAGAATATTAATACTAAAAACGTTTCTTACATTGATACATTCATTTAAAAGTAGACATTAAGTATAGAAATCCTTGAAGTAAATTTAAAAATGTCTTAGGTTTCAGATAAAAATGCTAATACCTGTAACAGAAAAATAAAATAAATACTTAACATTAATACACATCTATTTTTTTTAGAAAACTGAAGGGAATAAATTATATGATTTCTGAAAATCGAACTCGTCTTTGTTGCACGGTAAATTATGATTCATTAATGATTTTTTTCATTTCCTCAATAATTTATATGCAATAATTTTCTAACGAAACTATAATCTTTAAACCTTGCTTATGTCAGGTTTCTAACTATTGAAAAATTTACAGACATTTCAATCACGGGAAAACTTTCAAACAGATAGTATCTTGAAAACTGTATAAATTAGCATGAATATTTTCTAATTATACACGCATAAAAATAAAATCAATAGATTCAAAAAATTCATCACCGTTTTGGTGTTTATTATTATTATTATCATCTTGTTGTTTTTGTTGTTAATAATTTTATAATAATGTTTTGAGTTTAAAAGCAAAGTTGTGTTCTTAGGGGCAGAAGTAATAGATAATTATTTAGCTGCATCGAAACTTTTAAAAGTTTTATCCTCAATTTTTTAAGCTGTAATCACTATATTTTATGATTCATGCTGATAAATTAGATTTTATATATTTCTTTTCTGGTAAACAGCATAATATATTTTAGATTATTAGTTTCTACTTTTTAGGCACTTTTCTTCTGTTTCTGAAACTGTTCTTAGTGTGCTAGTTTATTTTTGTCTCTCTGTCTATATATACATATGATTTATATCAACTCTGCTTATTTATTGAGAAACAATTTTATATTTGCTTCTGTTGTTTAAAAAGCAATACTAATTTCGATTTCTTGGAAATCCCTTTGCATTTATGCAATAAATTTAAAATTCAATGCCCATGTACTAACAAAATTTAGTCTTTTTTTGTTGTTGTTGCTGTTGTTATTGCAAAAGCTCTACCCAGACAATGGTAAGTTTTTTTTAAGATAATAAGGGAGAAAAAGATTTTTCTCACCTGTGGATGAGGTGGAGGTGGCAGTTGCTGTAGTATCAGGGCCTGATTTCCTCCCGCTGAGCATGTGGGCCATCGCGGCTGAGAAAGTGAACCCGGCTCGGTGCATAGCGAGGAGGCCCTCATGACACCCGTAGAGCAGACTCAGTTCCCGCGCCTCGTTCTCCTCCTGGGCCTGTTGGCGGCGGAGGGCCACCTGTGCGGCCATCACACGCTGTCGCTCCGCGATGAGCGTGCATTTCGCGCAAACGCAGTCTCGCCAGCGACAGTATCTTTTGTGGCCCTTCAGTGCCGACACCACCCCGTGGTTCCTGCAGCGGGCGCATTTCGGCGTCCTTTGGTAGCGCTCGGCTGACCGCAGGAGCAGCCCCGGGGTCGGCTGCCCTGAAGCGGCCAGAACGCCAGTAGGCACTGGCGCCCGGGCCAAACCTCCGGGCCCCGGCCAGGCCTCGGAGGAGCGAGGTGCGGCCCTGCCGTCTGTCCGGCCTGGGACACTCATCGAGGGCCTCACACAGCCGAGTGCACTATCTTCTCCGCAATCCAACTTGAAACGTTTTCGTTTACCCTGCCTTTCAGATAACGTTTTCGTTTACCCTGCCTTTCAGATCGGATGAACGTGGCAGACTCACTCGAAGATCCCGCGGCGACGGCCTCGTACTACAACCCACTCTCCGCCCATTGATGTCATTGGTCGCCAACCCCCTGCGTCAGAGGCGGCATCCTCCCCTCATTGGGCGATCCATTAGTTTCTCTTTCTACCTACGTTCGCGACTACGCCTTTTATTCATACCCTCGATGTTCCAACCCTGATACAGATTCCGACCACCCGTCACTGAAACACGAAAAACACTCAGCTCTCCCCCTCCTGTAAGGTTATTGTTATTTCCCTTTTTGGTAGCACCGGACGTTATGGGGAGTCCCGGAAGATGAGTCATCAGTTTTTTAACGGCTTCTATCATATGCTCCGTCAACTCTCAAAAGTCTTTCCCCCTTTTATTACTGTTTGCTTCCGCTTGCAAAGGTAATGTTTCATTTCGGAGGACTTCCAAAATAGGAGATAAACCGCCAATTGTGAGACTTCCTCATAATGTCGGAGGCGGGATCGTACTATCAAGCTGGGGACGGCAGTTATCGAATATATATCACATTTACACGTGTCTCGTTCGGTCGAGACGAGTCCGCGAGAGAGAAAAGATGTGTGATCGGGAGCTCCGCAATTAACAACGATAATTAGCAGAATTTTTGTCATAATGTTCTAATTTTTTTAAAGTGCGCGTGAATACCTTAGGAGTAGCTCGATACAAGTTTTGTGTTTGTGCGTGCAGTGGTTCTCAAGTCATTAGTGTTTTCTTGAATTGTACTTTGTGTAGCAGCGCTGTGCATGTCAGCGTCCTTCGGCATGCTTCAACATTCTACTGTGTTATGTAAATGTATGTAAGTGCTTCGAAAATTTTTTAAGTTCAGAATGTAGTAGTTAATTTGTGAAAATTAATATCTTTGGATTACCCCGTTCTGGTGATCTGCACTCATCACGGCCAAGGTAGGCAAATTTTGTTCTATCTATATATCAACTGTGTATTGTTCTGTTATATTAAGGGGTTCTTGTTATAGTATCGTAAGCCTATTTACAAATTTTGCGTAACTCTGACTCGTACAATTTACAAACACATAAGAATAAAAAAACAGCACACCTGAGTCTGGTAACAAAGTGTTTAGATATATATATAGACTTCGGATGCAACCGATTGCAGCCAAAAAGGGAGGTGCATAACTACACGTTATAACAGTCCCATATACAAAATTTCAACGTTTTGAGGCTACTTGTTTTCGAGTTATGAGAGATACATGCATACGTACGTGCAGACGTTACGAAAAGTCCCACCTGAATCCATTTTAAATCCATTTTGGAAAAAAGATTCTTCATTCTGTCCGTACGTACAGATGTCACGCAAAAAAAAAAAAAAAAAAAAAAAAAAAAAATCGTTCAAATGGATACGACAGCGGTCAAAATGGATATTTTCGTTGAAATATTATATCCAAAATTTTTCGTGGTTACAATATTTCCCTTACTTCGTACAAGGAAGTAAAAAATTCTCATTTTACTTTTAAGGTTTAATAAAGGTTTCATGTATTATATTTTTTACTTTCATAGTAGTATTCTAAGTTGGTTCATAGAAATTTTCAGTAGTGATTTTATTTAAATCTTAATTTTTGTTCTATATATGTTGTAATTTATTTTTATTTTGTAGATGTTCTTTTGACACAAAAACTTGCTTAAAATATAAAATACTTATGACCGAAAGTTTGCACCTGATGAAAATGTAAACAAAATGGGCTGATAAATCGATTGAAAAGTAAAGTATGTAATAAACCGAAGAAATCTCTAATATTCTGGGACAAAAATACATTTCTGCGGATGTTTAGAAACAGCTTTAAGAAATTTATGCTACCTGAAACTGCATGTAAATCTAAAAAATAAGGGTAATACACATAGGGTATAGATACAGTCGCAGAAATCTCACTGCCTCGTTTTAAAACTTGTATGCTGTTCATCATAGTTGCATCGCCATGGTATGATGAATTAACTGGATCTTGGTCCTTGAAGCCTTGTGAAAGAGCCAACATGGCCCGCGGGCTGAAAAGTTTGGAGACCGCCTACTCTAACATGATAGTCAATTGAATATTATTTCTTGTAATACTTCAAAGTCACAGTGGCCTTATTTGAAGTTTTAATAGCGTTTTCACTGATTCTGTATTATACCCTGTATTATATTTGCATTTCTTCTGCATATTATACTCAGTAAAGTATATTTATTGTTCACTTTATACCAGCTTACTATTGTATTTGATTTCAGTATATCTCTATCAGTTGGTTCCATTAATGTAAATCCTATGAATTTGTGCCAAATGTTCATATATTTCTAATTGTGCTATAGTTTAGGTAGTAATTGTCTTTGATATAATTTAATAATACCGAAAGACTTGTCGGGGGATTTGTCAAAATTTCAATTTTAAAATTTTATAAATTTTTAAAACACTTTTATTGCTTCTTTTTGCTACAACCGGAACTACTTTTTCATTATACTAAGTATTCGAGCTTATGTTCTTATTTACCTATAAAATGATTTCACAGCAGGGTTAGTAGTATTGCGGAAAGCCCGCGTACAAGTTGTTTTAATAGCATTGAACAAATATTTCTACTGTACTTGGTTTTCGTACAATTATATTATTGCATTTATTACCACATGCCTCAGCTTACCATTTGAATTACTCTCTGATTCAATGATTTTCAATTGTATCGAGTATTTCAACTATCCTTTGAACTCTGTTCTTAAACTTGAACTTTTCATTCACCATGTCAGCGACAGATTCAGACACATCTAATTGCACTAATGGACTGAATATACCATCTCCTGTGCCTTCTAGTGAACATAGATAAGATCAACGCTCTTTTTGATGAGAGTGTTGCAATAGCAAATTCCATACGGAGCGGCAAACATGTATTACTACGAAGTCTACGGAAGCATCTCATCAATACTTTAGTTGCCTTTAAAAACTTGGCAGTAAACATTTCCCTCTGGAATCCCATGAAGGTAGTGCACTCTGCAACAAATATAGATAAGATTAACATCCAAAATATCGCTTCAATTACATACGGTGCCATAGAAAATACCATCGCTTCTTTGGTTGAACTGCCAAATCCAATTTCCCCATTTCCTCATATACCCACCTTTGCGGAGGTCTTACGACAAGCCAAGAAGCCTAGTCTATTAATTAAACCAGAAGAGGAAAAAATCCTCAGTAGAATTGAAGAAGGAGCTGCAAGAGAAAGTTAAACTAAGAAATATTCCAGTTCAAGTTGAAGGAATAACTCCGGCTCCTCAAGGAGGAATTGAGGTCTACGTTCGAAGATCCGAAGAACATCCAAAGATGTCGATAATCTTACCCGTGCAGAGGTCCAAGATGAAATTAAAGGACGATAAAGGCGCAGACCACGATGCTCAACTTATAATGTCCCAAGCGACGTCAGGCCAGAGGTTATCGTCGCTGAACTCAGTGCTATGCCAGTGGTCTCAGCCAACTCTTACAAGATACGAATACAGACTCAAAGAGAGACATCGCAAGCAAGTCAAATGGATCCTAGAGTGTCACTCACCAGGTTTCTATGCGGCGATCAAAATCCGAAGAATATTTACTGGTTAGCAGGAACACACCATCACGGAATTCCTGGGTATCCGACGCTATTAAAGATGACAACAATTCGGCTATACTCAGGAGACCTGCACTAGTAAAAAGACATACTGCGCCTTCTGCGCCGGTTGTCGCTAAGTTCGATATTGCATAGCAGAACAGCCAAATTGCATCAACTGTGGTGATTCCAATAATCGATACTGTTCTAACCACAATTACCAAATGCCGTATATCACCCAGAATACCTAGTTTACCACTGCTATATTCAAAATATCAGAGATAACATTGGCTTTAATCAACAAACAGCTATCAATGGATCTCCTACAGCAACAAACTTTCACCATTCGGTTACCCCAATACGAAATTTAATAAATCACAAAGAAAATCAGCCCAGCCAATCAAGTGTTTGCAAATTAACTTGCAATACGCTAAGGCTGTAACAGCCCAAGCAACACAATTTGCTATTGAAAATGCAATTGACACCATTTTTGCACAGGAACCGTATACGCGAAATGGGATGACAATGGGATTCCCCTTGCACAGGAATATTTACCAAAACATAGATACTGATCATCCGCCACGCTCTATCATTATATGCTCCAACACCGATTGGTCTTCCTCAGTTATTACTATGGAAAGGGATAGTTCTGCCATCCTCCTTTATTTATAGTCTCTGACACTGATACTAGTATTCCAATATTCACCCCCATTCTTAGGACTTAAACCTGATCACACAATCAAATCAAAACTTACTACAACGTATCCATATCTCCAACATGGTTTTCGCTGGAGACAACACAACATGGGGTAATGCTGTAACAAATCCTAAAGGAAGAGATTTAGAAAATTTTCTTTCATCAAATAATTTGGTTCTGCAGAACACTGAGCGTGCTCCTCCATAGTACGATAGAATTGATGCTCACCAATTGGACAGACCTCACGTTTACAGCTCATGCAACAGACCTTATTCAAGACTGGAAGGTTGAAGACGCAATAAGTTTATCAGATCACAAATTTATTACTTTCACAATAGCCAAGATTACATAAGTACCAATTATCAAACGTTATAAACTACCAAGACAGATGATCAATTCCTTCATCAGTAAGATTCGCAGTCTTTTCAAATAATTAAGTTAATGAAGGTTGAATCCCAGGAAGATCTGGAAGTATTTACAGATTCACTACAGAACATTATCAAGCAGCCATGCGATGAATCTCTTCCACTACGTAGTACCAAACAACATACAGTTAATTGGTGGATGGGAGCTTTCCGTACGCAACACGCAAATGTCGAGCCCTTCGCCAAAAATTAAAACAAGTCAGAAGACTCAATTTACAAACAGACACAATACAATGCTTTTA